ACAACAAATTCCGCGGCACACTCCCACTTACCGCGGACACAGACACCCTCGACACCGTCAGAGTGCGGCTTGCTCCGTAGTGAAGGTAAAATTGCCACTGCGTAAGGCCCGAGCGAGCGACTATGGATCCAGCATACCGACGAGCATAAGTACGCGGCAACAGACCCTCAAACGCAAACATGCAGACCTACACATGAGGCGTTCGTCGGTTCTCCGTCAGATCGGATCCCATTTCGTTCTGAATCAGGCTCTTTCATATCTGAAAAAGTCTGGGGCTACCAGGTTGTCTCCGGTACGACCCGCTTCAACTGTTTGCTGGAGGCGAATGTGAGCCAGATGCCTTGTTGCTATAGAGCTGAAACTCGCTGAAGCAGCCATTGAGCTCGCTGAATGAATACGGGAGCTTTTATTACCGTCTCGATATTACGGCCTGTCCTCCACGAGCTCTCTGAGGCAACAGAAGCAGCAGACGGGCTGGAGGACTTTTCCGCCGCCCGCGCGAAATTCCCGGGCACCTGCACGAGGCTTTCGGCGGAACAGCTTCAACTCAGCTAGGAGGAAGGTTCATGGGGAATAGCGCTGCTATCCTACTAGGGGTCAATCTCTGACTGAGCATGATGTACATAGATGTCAAGGCCTATATCTGTCGGGTAAATCGACGGCATTCGTCGGGATCTTGAAGTTTTCGACGAAGAATGAGCTGGAGAAGCTTTCAGAGTATGGCGACCGTGATAGGCATTTATTTGCATCGTTCTCACCTGCGGATCGACCGCGCCAGCGATTATTGGCGATTCCCGAGGTGCATGGCTCCAGATCCAAAGAACGGTGGAACAGGTGGCCATGCTCCGTAAATTATGGAAAACGTCGGTTTGGTCGATGGAGCATGCTGTGGGCTCCCTACGCAAGTAGCCATTGGTATCGTCGAAAATTTACCGGGATCCCGCGACCCAGAGATCGAGACCATGGATGGGTCTAAGGATCGATAAAGGTATTCCCCCACGGGGGAAAAGATCCATGGATTCGGGAGGAAAATTTCGAGATGGGTCGAGGAGAGTTAAACACGGAGCTTGAGGAGGGCTCCGAAACCCACTCGACCTCCGGGTCCCGAGATATCCTGATCGACAGCTACTTCTTCGACACTTACGGCATGTTTTGCATGCCCTGCCATTCATGTTTACCGCAGACTTTGTAGTGGGTACCACCGATCCCCTTGACATTGTTTGCGTTATGGCGACAGATGTTCCTCTCGAAAAACTCCCTCCCAGGAACCGCGAGAGAATATTCTTCCCGGGGAAGACGTCTAGTTTGCGTATAAACTTGAACAGTAGATTACCCTCTGAGGTAACTGACACCTCGTGAAGAGGTTCTCATCGACGATTATGACCGGAAGGGTGTGGTTTTAGCGGAGAAACAGCCAGGACACGCAACCTTTGGAGCCATGGGTGCGGACTTCCCCTCTACAGCATCGGTCAGGAATAACGGTGAAGGGCTCAATACAAGCCTGTCAGATCAAGCGACCGACCTTGCAGAGTTCCCGCCCTGCCGTTCCCTCCCCAAAGCCTCTAAGGAGTCTTTCGGCCAACCTGCGAGCTTGTTATCAAGCCTTGAGGTTGGCCCGCACACTTTAAATACAAGCGATCCAAGCTGGAGAAGATGATGATGATAACGATGATGATTCTGCAGATGATGACGCCGAGCAAGCTGCGGATGACGCAAAGCTCCTCGTCGGCGAGTGTATGTACCGAACGTTCGATCGCACTTGCCCATCCTCCTCGCGGAGCTCTAGTCTAAATGGTCTTAAAATAAAGACCACAACCACCATCCGGCGCGGAGGAGCTCTGCGGTAGGGGTGGCGCCAGCAGCGAGCTCCTTGGCAAAACTCTCTCTGAGGTAGGCCGGCCGTGATGTTGGTCCGGAGCCGAGTCGACGACTGCTTCTAAAACTACCTCCTCTCGAAAATCGCAGCCTTCGAGATCATTCCGCTGTCTTCGTTCACGCGAGCAAAATATTCCTATCTGGCTCTTCGCTTGGCGTTCGGCCCTGCTTTCCGGAACGTACCTACCTACCTACCGACGGACGGAGCTCTCCTTTTGATCCACCGACTGAGAGTAGTAGGTAGGCAAACGAGCTCGCGCGCCAAGACACCGCGATCTATCGAGTCCCCAAGCGAATCGTTTCCTTCCTCTCGCTCATAGGGTAATTTTCGTCATCCGAAATTAGCAGCGGCGGCGGCGGCGAGACGACGATGGCGACGGCGGATGCGAGCACGCGGGAGGTCGTTGTTGGCCAGCGCGTAGGAGTTTGACTCGCGACTCGTTGATTGCTTATGCAAATGAAAAACATCGTATTTTCGCTACACACCTGATTCATTCTGCAATCAGCGGCGAGCTTCTCTAATGCTGTCGGAGCAAACTAGAATCGCTGCCTTCGGTGGAAATTCTCACCGTCTGAGTCGTACCGAAGGGTAAATGATGGGAAACATAAACACGAACACAACGAGACGGCTTTCATTTCGTATTCCTCTCCTCCACCTGCTGTTGTTCGCCGTAAGCAGCTTCCACTACGAACACGTTCTCTCGGCCTGCTCAAAAGAACTATAAATACATACGCTTGGGACGAGGGGCGACCGACGATACCGTTTCGTCTGCGCTCGGCTTCGAACGCTGCCTTTTTCCGTGGAACGGAATCGTTTCTCCTTTCTCCTTAGGGCGTTTGTCGGTCCAAATCAAGTGATTGGAGAAGAAAACGGCGAGTAGCGTCTAATCTAATTGTGAATGAGAGCGTCGGCTCGCTTCTGTGAGCACACTCGTATCCGCTGAGAATTGAATCCGGATTCCCGCTTGCAGAATAATGCAATCGACGTACATAAGTTCCAGTCCTAATGTTTATGGGAGATTTTTTTTCTTACTCCTGCATTTGGATAATGAATAGTATTTCCCCAAAAAAAAACGTACATCCGATTGAACACTTGACGGTGAAAATCGCGGAGTTTGAGCTCACCCAGCACATCCGACCGCAACCCCACTCCGGAGTCCCGTCGAATCGATGCGATCCCAGCGGAAGACTCCATCGGGTAAATCCCTTGCGTACGCACGGAGCCGAGATCTCCGAAAGAAATGTCATTCATTCTATTTGCGAAAGATAGCTCGGTGCAGCCGCCGTGAGATCTTGTTTGAGGTTGAGCTCGGTCGTGAGAGCTCCAGTCAGCGGCCACCTGTGGGCTCGCCTGTTGTTATTTTGGGCCCTCGCCCGCCCTTCCTTTCTGGGGTCCACTCTTTCGTCTTTCCGCTCCAACATGGCGTACCCCTGTGTTTTTATTGTGCCAAAGCTGTCTCTGATGCGACCGTAACCTTCGAAATAGGCCTATTTGCCGTCGATTCGTAGTTGGCTAGACGTCCCGGGAAGTGGTCGAGGGAAGCCGCGTGGTCAGTTCCCTGCAGCGGGCGTCTCGGCCCCGCAGGAGGACGCCTGACGTCACAGCCGCTGAGACCCTCGCTTCCTCCATCAGCTCCTTGTAGCAAGCAGCTCGGTTTAGATTCCTCTCCTCTACATATAGCGGATTAGGGATCTTGTGGTGACGGTTTCTGAAGGCTGACCGCACCGGAATTCGCGCTGGTGCAAACCTCGGTCGAGAAGGACAGAGACGCAGCCGCGACGGGTCGGCCACTCGTTCTGTGAACCACGAAACCCGACGAACGAACAGACGGGACTCGCACGCTCGGCGGAAAAACGGACCGACCGAACGAACGAGCGGAAAAACAAAAAGACTGCTCTACAGAGAACGAGCCAGAAAAGTTGCCCCAACGCACGCTGCCAACTTGACGATCGGAGTGTTCTTGTGTGTACTCGTGGGCTCGCAGCCCGCTGCCATTGTTGGCTGTCGCCAGCCGCCGTTTCCCGAGGTAGAACGTTTGTGGATAGACAACGAGTGCAATCATCATCAAGTCGGAGTACCCCGTGTCGTGGCCGCTGTTGTTCAAGCAATTCCACACTCCGCTCGGTCCCCACGGGTTGCCAAGTCAAGCCGAGTGTTTGCCGACGCGCTTCGTGAATACTCGGGGAGCCACAGGACGGCCCTGGTACCGGCTGGGGCTGCCGCACGAGCACAGGTTCTCTAGGTAGAGTTTCATAGAAAGTAGTCGGGACGTCTGCGTGAGTGCCGCCCTGGAACCCGGAGGTTCCTGACCGTCGTTGTTGTTGTTGTCGACGTGCGTCGCGTCGCAGTTCCCGCCAATGTGACCGATCAAAGTGATTCTGATCGAATCTATCGTCCTCCGACGGGAGCTCTAAACTCACTCGAACGTCATCGACGCCGCGTGGTTGCGGAGTCGAGGTTCTGCGAAAGCGAGTTCCTGGATCTGCAAATCGCGCAAACCATGCTCATCATTTGCGCACGTTTTTCGGCAGACGGTCGACGTGAGCCGTGACGCGACGCTGAGGCGTCGATGCCATCAGCGCCATCGTAGTCGTCGTCGTCGTCGTCGTCTTCTTCTTCTTGTCCTCGGGAAAAGTCCGGGTCGTCTTCGTCGGAACTCGGAGCTCGGAACCTCGGAGATTTTCCATCTTGATCATCGTCACCTTTTGGTTGTGCTTGGATCGAAATTCGGGTGCGCCCATCGTTGGACGACGGCCGCCCTCGGGGCATCATCGCCATCACCATCATCATCATCGGATCGAATCATCAGCGAAGCGACGACAATTCTGCGCAACAGAAAAAGTCGCGGCACGATCGCATCGTGTCGAGGTTGCGAACGTAGTCGGTGTGAACGGGGTCTCTCGTGCGAAACTCGCTCAGCTCAAGCAAGTACAAAACATGCCAAATCGTACATAGCCGAGGCATCCCAGGCGTCAGCGGTCCTCAATCGAAGAAGATACTCTCGGAATGGATTTCTTGTGAACTTGTTGCCTCCTCTCTATCCGCCACCGTCGAACTCCCAGAGCAGCAGCAATAGATCAGCCGGGCCTCCGAGTCCTGTCTTGATCTTGGTTTTCCAAGAGACATGGGAGCTAACCAGGGCAGAGTCAAAGTCTACGGTGCTCAGTCCTCGTCGCTCAAAGTAAGATTTCGGAATTCCTCGCGGGGGAGGGAAGGCGCCCGGCTTGAGATTTATAGAGAGAGCGAGAGACATGGGGAAATTCGATAAATATGGGAATCTCTCCGGGAACGCATTCGATTCGGTATGAGCTCAGACGCGTGACAGTAACTCGGCGGATGTTGGCAATCCACAGAACCTGCGTAGCCAGAAGGACAAACGGTCCCCTCGGCCCTGCCAGAGGGGGTCCTCGGCTCCCTCGTCGACAAGTCAGGTCCCAAATGATCTGGCGAACCAGAGCGAGGGACCCAGTAGGGGCCTCCAGTCAGGGACGACGACCCACAAGAGTTACCAGGTAGCGAACATAATGTGGTGATCGAAACTTTAGGATCGGACCTCTACAGAGAACGCTGACGCACACAGGAACACAGTGACAGCAGACAATTTCGAATAGGCTTTTTAGCGTTAAGAAATTGATTTCTTGATCGCGATAATTTTCTTTCTTCATGTCAATGATGTCTCAATTCGAGGGTTTGAGATCGAGACCGATGTTCTAAATCAAATTTCAACCTTTCCAGAGTCTCGGGCCCAGCCTGGACCAAGCGCTGTTGACGGAGGCGCATGGGCTGATCACAGATATGCTCCAGGACCCACTGTTACCTCCACACATAACATGTGGACTCCGAGCCTTAAGCAGTCTGCTCTGCCCTTCGGGAGGTCCCCCCAAGCAGCGGGGGAGCCAGGGAGGGTCCCTGGCAGTCGAACTGAGACCAACTTGCGATCCACAAGAAGAGGATCTCCCTTACACCGGGGAGAAACCTTCTGCCATTCCTAAGGTTAGTCGCTTTATCCCTGCCTGAGGCGTCCCTCACGATTTTCTCGGTTCCCTCAGCCGACAATAGGAACCCCTAAACCCGAGAATCGACCCGTTAGCTCAGGGAAAATTGATGAACAGGAGGCGAGATGAAATCTTCTGCATGGAGTTGCGGAAAAACACCTGCGAGGCTAAGATGGGATCTGAAATTTGAGAATTGATCGAGGGCAACGGTATGACTGTTGCGAGTCGACGAACGCTTCTCCATGGAGCAGGAAGGAACAGTCCAGTCTCTCCCACCTGTAACGTGACTCATGTAATCAACTCGCGAAGGGCAACACCTGCACTTAGAGTCACCGCATTAGGAGCTCGGCGAGGCTTCTTCCCAGCCGGACGCGCTCTCTCCGGTCGAGATAATATTTATTAGGCTCTCCCCGGCTCTGTTTCGCCGGACTCGATTCGCGGGGGTTGCGGATAAAATAATAATAATGATACGGGTATTGTATGCCTCCGGAGGGATCCGATTCTGCCTGTTAGACAGAATTCGCGGAACCCTGCTCTGCTCAGGAGCAGGATTCACCTTCGGGTCGGAGGGCCTGTGTTTTCCCGCTTCGGTCGTTGACTGAGTCGGTCGACGTGTTCTCTCGTCGACTGCTTTGCTGTATGGATGCGTCACGTTTTCCAATCGCAACGAGTACCCTTGCACAAGAGAGCAGACTGGAATTGGTCGGTCAATGCGGTGCCCGTTAGAGCGTACAGGGAACGATTACGAATTGCGTAATGTCCCGTTCGATCGAAGAACTTTTGATCGCTGTTCTCCCGGAGACGCTCCTAAGGGTCCTCGATTTAGAAGATGTCGACAACAAATCCACTTCGATGACCGCTCACACAGGGTCCAAGTTCCGAGGGGGGATCCTTGCAAGCAGCCGCTGACCTCCGATTGCTGAAAACGATCGGTTGGATTGCGCATGCGATGTGATGAACAATAATCACTGCTCCGAGAATATTCGTATCTATCGCTTGGCAGAAGACTTTTTCGAGCGGAGCAAGCCGCCCGAGCCTCATCGAATGCCAATCGAAGGGAGATCGCGATCGGGGCAGGAACATTCGGTCGCTCCGCTCCATCGGAATTTTCCGTGGAATTGTAACCTGGGAGCGGGAGCGTACATGAAGGAGGGAGGCAAACCCTCGAACTTCCCGTTCGCTAAGCGTAGGGATCTGGGACGTCTTCATCATTTTTGAGACCTTGCCGACATTCCTACCGGCAGCGTATCCCTCCCCCCTCTTTGACTGGACCGCAGATTTCGCCCCATCCTGACGTATCGTTTGCACTGTTTTCGGTATCCCTCGGCTCATGATCTCTCTCGAACATGCCAGAGCTCAGGTTTGCGTTTAATTCCACAGCTACGGCGGCACCTACCGCCTTCACTTCTGCGGAGAATGTCAACTTCAACATGGACTACAACGACCTCCGCCACGGGGATGCCGACGCTAGAGCCAGAGCCTTCTCGCAAGAGAAGCACTAGCTTTAGGTGAGTCTTTCGGACTTCTCCAAGGAGTCGCTGTGCTTGGTGCCGGTCGAGGTCTATACCGGTGAATGCTCACTTCGGTTTGATTCCCTAATTCCGGAACGTGGAATGCTCATGGGTAGATCACGTGATTGTAGAAGCTTGCGGTGCGCTCTCATAGAATTCTCATAGGCGGAGCCGGATACGTTTCCGCCACCATACTTACGCTATTCCTGAAAATTCGGAAAAGTGCTCGAAATCGTGTTTGAGAACTTTTCGGGTATCTCTGGAGTCATGATCCACGTGGGATCCAATGCTGGGGGATCCAAGCGGGATCCAATGCTGAAGGACTCCCGACGTCGATTTGCTGCTTATTCCATCCGCCTCATACTCCACAATTCTTCATTCACGATTTTTCACCCAACAAACCCGGACTTCATTTTCTTTTTCCGATTTTTCGAAACTTCTATCTGCATGATCTGACTCTTGTCATTGGGCTCGTGAAGAACTAACTACTATGCCTCCTGATTGCGAATTGCGCCCTATAATACACATGCTGCGATTTTGGGTGGAGTACGGAACGACAGAATGGTCATCAGGGAATGCTTTACGGTCGAGAGGAGGTGTCACCGATACCTTCGGATGAGATCGACTTCCCGGGTCCGAGAGGAAATTAATGGGAAAATACCTGTTCTTCTCTTTTAGTGCTGCGCTGCGTTCGCCCTCATCTTCGCTATGTCCTCCGGGTGATAGAAATTCGTTAAGTTTAGAACCAGGGTGAGTTCCACGTCCACTCTCAGCTATTTGACCTCTGTCCTCTTGTACCTGAATTCCCTCGTTTCTCTTGCTCGAAACAACGAGCTCCCGGCATTCCCGAGCGTGGTCGCTGCTCGTTCGGTGAGGGTCGGCGGTCATTACGGATTGAGAACCGCAGATCGCATCAGTATGTATCGATCTATAAAATGCTTTCCGACGTGACTCGCATCCTCCGGCTACCGACAGCTCCGGGAAAGATTTGCTAGTGCGCGTTGGCAGCTGCGGTTTCGTGGGTTAAGAGTCAGAGGCTGTTGCTGGCTTTGTCTGTCATTAGGATGCCGTCTGTGTTTCGCTCTGAGGTCTCCGACGGAAGTTACGTGCTTCGATTCCAAGAAGTGATGATTCGCCATAAGCGCCGGTCCAGATTGCCTTGATTTAAGTAATCGAGAACTCCCCTTTCTCTCGAAACCGTAGAATCATTGTTCGACACTGTCGGTGCCTTCAAAAGCGACTATTTGTTTACCGGATCACTGACCCTCGGTCTCGTTACGCTCGCCCCGGCCCCTTTGAAATTCAGCGGAGCTTCAGAGCTTTCATCGAGTAAACGTCATCGATATCGTTCTATGGTTTTCAATACCGGTCGATGTTTGGACGGTGCTCCGCTATGCTCGGGGCAGCTCACGGCGGCAATGGATTCTCTTTATACCTATCAGCGGGCATGCCGGGTCGGACGGAACCGTCGGTCTGGTGATGTGATGAATCATAATATTGAAATGTCTCCTCGAAAATTGAAGGAGTAACGACGAGGCCGAATCTCCCTCGAGTATTCCGGAGGGCGCGGTTGAATGTCGACAGGATCGACTTCGATCTGAGGGACAGCTCAACTTATTAGAGACTGTGAAACGTGATTCACTGACTCCCGACGGACACGAAAGAGATCGTTTTCGACTAGACCGAAGATCCGAGAGCCAACGATCAGACATAATCTGCAGCCACTGCGGTCGGAGAAGCAGCTTTAGTCAAACAATTCCAGAAGAGCCCCCAATCAAACAGGTAAATAAATCATCATAGCGACCGTCAACAAGTGCACCTCCGAGCGGAATTCACCCTCAAGTGTTGAATTCTGAGACTCGAAACAGAACTTGAGGTACTCGAGTACCCGGGGGCATGCCCACTGAACTTTCGCGCTCGTTCGTTTCAGAACAAACCGCCAGAAATTTCCTCGCCGTCACCGGGCGTATTCCATATCAACGGACAAGTATTCGATGTGATGTCCATTCGGAACGATCCGCTATTGGCCACTTTAGGCGATTGGGATTTTCAGATATTTGATCTCAGTGAAAAAGATCCCAACACCATATTGAGCAAGGTACGTGTCCCCGCAGACATAGAGCGGGAGCTCTCCTCCTGACCGTATCGCCGAATCGGATTCTGTTTTGAAAAGCCGTTCGATCGAGTTTCCGTTCCCCGTGAGATATTCCATAACATTATTCCGCTCGATAGATTTGAAAGGCTCATGAAGTCATGAGTCCATTCAAAAGATCGAGGCTTGCCAGACATGGCAGCGCTCGAGTCGGCCACTCGATCGCTCCGGTCCATCAACAGTGGTTCCTTATACGAATTAGTCTGGTTCTTTTCCCAGTGCCCGGGCGAGGCAGCCGTCGAAGTCTAACAAGATGATTCTCTGACCGTTTACAGATGTGCTACAGAATCTTCCACGACACCGGCCTTTTCGAGTCGTTTAAAATTCCGGAGAAACAGTTTTTAGCGTTTCTGCATGCGGTCGAAAACGGCTACAGAGATAAGCCGTATCACAATCGAATGCACGCGGCAGATGTTCTGCACGGAGTAAGTCTCGATGAATCGTAGAGGTTTCAACTGTTGCTCATTATTCTTCGTAGAGAGCAGCTCCGAGCCGGAATAAGGAAACCGTCATTATTTGAACCCTGATGATCCTTCTCCTGTCAGACATTCGCGAGAGCGGTTTCCTCGTTCGGCCGGTTGAGCCGCGAGGGAAAATGTTCATTTGAACATGTTCCGTCTCGCGTTAATTTCGAATGACATCTATCTTGGGGAGCTTCTAGAGGCTTCGGAGGCGATAATTAATTACTTACGGAGAGTTCTCCACGCTAGGTGTATCACCTGACATCTCAGCCAATCCCAGGTCTGGAGCAAGTTCCAGTCTCCGATTCCAGTCAGCCATCCACCGGTCAAGATTCCCCTCTACATCAAACCTACTTCGGTGAGTGAGTCATGGATATCTATTGATTTATTTAGGTGAATTGATTGACTCGGACCACACGGTTGATTCCGAATGGACTCCTCCTCCTACATGTGCCTGGATTTTTTCCCTCGATTCGCATAGTTCATTGAGCCCCGCTTTTACAGCGCAAAGTTGTCCCAGCGAAGGGAATCTACCTTACGGAATCATGGGCATAAATTTCCCGGCCTTGGAGCTCATGGCTCTGTATCTGGCCGCGGCCATGCACGATTTCGACCATCCAGGTCGGACGAACGCTTTTCTCGTGACAACTCACGCCCCACAAGCCATCCTCTACAATGACAGGTACGTGCGGTCGTCCATCGTGCAATCGGCTTCCCCGTCCATCGAGTCAACAAGCTCTCTCAGGGGATGACACCGTCCTGACCCGGTCAACGGAAACGTCTGCCGTTCCAGTGCAAGGTCTCCCCACTTCTCTTGAGGTCCGCCTACGCGGCCGCAGGACTCAATCAGCCTTTCTTTGAATTACTCATTCCACCCGAGAGAGTTGAAATGCGACGAATCTTCCTGATACCTACTATACTAGTTCCGGGCTCTTCCTTGTAGGTCCGTCCTGGAGAATCATCACGCGGCGGCAGCATGGTCGCTTCTGATGAGTCATTCCGAGTACGATTTTCTGTGTAATCTCGACAAAGCAGAGTTCAAGAGACTGCGATATCTCGTCATAGAGTGCGTTCTAGCCACAGATCTGAAACGTCACTTCGAAATTCTCGCAGAGTTCAGCGCGAAAGTGAGTTCTGCTCGCAATGGAGGGCAGGATGACATTCCACCCCCCAATTCATGGAGATTGATATTGGCCGAGAATTTCCGAAGATAATACTCATCTCGTCCCTAGATGAATATTACGGACGGGAGCGGTCTCGATTGGACGAACGAGGCCGATCGTCTTCTTGTCAGCGAGATGGCCATCAAACTTTCCGATATCAATGGGCCGTGTAAAAAGCGAGATATTCACGTTCGGTGGACGCATCGTATAGTTGAAGAGTTCTATGAACAAGGTAAGCAGAGGGCATGCGCTCGCATTGAGACAACAAGCCACCCCTCGCAGTTTACCCCATCAGTCGGTTCAATCTTATCATTGGAATGCGTCCCCGCAGGCGATGAGGAGCAACGACTCGGTCTCCCAGTATCGCCGTTTATGGACCGATCTCGACCTCAGCTTGCCAAACTTCAAGAATCGTTCATCAAGCATCTCGTCGCACCCCTTTGCAATGCATATGGCCAGGCCGGGCTCCTGCCTGGAGAATGGGTCCTCGTGGATGGTGATCCTCAAATTCTCAACGATAAATCGGGTGGTGAGTTAGAAAAAAGAGAGACTTCGGAGAGCTCATTCCATCCCGTCGCTCAATCCGTTTCCCGAAACTGTCGGAGAGAGCTCCTCAGTTGTAGAGACTCAGGCCAAACCCTTTACAGACGATGATGCTTCGTCGAGTGACACCAACCTCGACGATGATGAAAACCGAGAATACGGGAAGCCCAATCCAAGAAGAGCGAGCCAAGTTTTCTGCGTCCAAACCCAACACCTACAGGTGACTTTCCAACATCCCCCGGTAGCACTTTCTCACAAATTTCCTCTCGATTTCCGCTGGTGCCCGTTCCAGACTCGCGATGTTCTCTTTAATTGACTTGCAGGACAATTACGCGCATTGGATCAAGGTCATCGAGAAGGAACAGGAATCGACGTCGAGTCTCCAAGAAGGCGAAGAGGGCGAAGGGGACGAGCCTTAATCTAAGCCATTTCTCATTGTGAAGTGATCCATTCCGAAAAGAACACCTCACGCCCCTTCGGAAAAATCTGAAGCACACTGAGAGACTCCCTCCGTTTTCACCGTCTCTCGACAATCCGATAGGTGGATAGCGATTCAGAGGAGAAATCGGATTCGTGTGAAAGTTCATCGATGACAACACTGATAGAGACGGCGTCGAGAGCGGGGAGCTCGAATCCCTCAGTCGAAACACGAGGGAAGTGTGATATCGCCATACTGTTTTACGCTTTGGCAGCGGAAGGACCAAGAAGAGAATATTGTCAGCGGGAGCGATTATCAGACGCTGGAAGTCACCGACGTGTACGCAGTCAATCATCAACGGACGGACCTTGGAGCGTGATTGTCTTCGTCATTTGTCTGCAAGAATTCAATGCTTAGGAGTTCGCTTTTGATACGCAAGGAATTGGAACGTGCCACAGGAGACAAAGGGATGCTACCACGCTTGCGGGGGCTGATTGTGGGGGCCTTGAGAGAGAGTAGGGGAACAAATATTGCTCTGAGTCGATGGGGAAAATCTAGAAAGGCCAAACATCAGGCTCGTCTGTTGAACAGTCACTCAGACAGTCAGTCGGCCAGCCCGACCATAGCACGGCTCTTGGAACGTTGGATGGATAGAGAGCAACGATGACAAAGAAAAGTTTTGGGTAGCGAGTTGATCGTATTCCTTCGAGACCGTCTTTCTCATTAAGGTCTCGATCGTTGAAAATGAGCCTGACGGCTGCACAGGCGATTTTGAAAAATCTCAGCCGGAGGGCGGCGTCAAACGAAACTTTGTAAAAAGAGCCCGACGGAACACTAGGTAGAGATAATAAAGTTAACGCGCAGCGTCTCCTCGGTAGCGTTGCACGGATGAATCGTCGAATTTTTCTCACGAAAACTTTGATCACAATTTAAGAGGTTGCTCCCGAAGCGGGCGACATTTCGAAGAGAAGAAGAGCTGAACATTCATAGAAACTAATGAGGGCGGAAGAGCGATTTCGGACCCTTGGATCGTGATAGGAAAACACTGACGTGAAACGAGAAGGAAGGTACAGTTGCGCAAAAATCAAAATATTCACATCATACTAGAAGACGACCGACAGAGCACAACTTCTGGAGGCCAACCGCAATTGTTCAGTCCGAGTCTTCTTATTGTACCAGATAGAGGAGAGGAAAGACTGGAAGAGAGAGAACTATAAGAGAAAATGTCACTGAACATGGTCATTGATATTGATAATAATTATCGGTATACTTATATGAATGAAGAGGATGATAATGATGATGGATCGAATCCCACAAACCCAGAAGCAAATCAAGCGACGGAAAGTGGTACGACGACTTCCGGGCACACTCGGGCTCGATGAAGTTCTGCTCTGTATAGAAAAACAAGATGCTCCGCGGTTCTTCTCTTAGTTTTGATCCCGTCCTTGGAAATCGCATCGTGATTCCGAATTTCTAATCAGTATCAGGATCCGCCAATCGAGCTCTGACGGGCCTGTTCCCAGAGAGGAAGGGTGGTCGATTCCGAGCTACCCGGTCTGCTGGTTTTGGGATCTAACGATGCGAATTATTGAGCAAAAGAAATTATTCGAAGAAGAACTTTTGATAGGACCACACGACACACGACCGAATCGATGTAACCTGTTTTATACTGTTGAATCGATGGAAATTTTCCACCGGCCCTGGAACGATGGAATCGGAGCGGATAGACGAACTCAAATCGAAGGATTCGAGGAGACTTTCCGAGAAATGACGAGTGAATACGACTCGTCTACTGAGCACTGTTAATAATTTTTTGAGGAACCGAAGGGACTTTGGAGTAACTGCGACCGTTATCGTTGATCAGTTGGAACACAGTTTTTTAGACCAGCTCAGAGAAAAAATGAAACTATCATCAAATTATTTGAAGGGTATCAGATGAGCAACACTAACCGGACTATCTGATCTCTGTCGAAAGCGAAGAGAAAGGAAGCGAATAGATACCCATGTGAAACTATCATGTAATGTGTGATGGGGATGTTGAGACAGGAACAAATATCGAAGCATCCTTATGACAGACGAACTTCTTAATTAAGAGAATTCATTAAAACAAATTGAACTGTTTGTCGACTGTAAAGCCAGGGCTTTTCTCTTCCTCTTCTTGTAAGCAGATTTAGATATGGCCCGCAATATTCGACGGCGGGGAAATGCGAGGGCAGTACGAAGCAGAAGACGATGAGCGATCTTATTTTTCCATACAAACACCAATCCAAGTATTTATTCTTCATCATCATCATCATTTCCATTATCATTGTGATGGTCGTCACCATCACCATTCAAGTTCGAGTCTGGATCCTCAATCGAAATGTTTCATAGTAAAAATCTCATTGAATCTACGATTGCCGGCAGAATCAGTCAGATCCGTGACAGAGTTCGTCGAAAACAGAGTCTTTCTCCGACTTTTCCTTCGTTCTAACTTGGCAACTCCGGGAGAGAAAAGACACGATTCCTCATGTGTTCCATTAACGAGGGGATGAGAAGGATGAAACATTCAGGGATGGTTATCGAGATAATGAAATGATTCAGAGAAAGATACTCTCGCAGTTTTTTCTTTCCGCTTCCCATCGAGAGAAGTTTCAGCTTTCATTTCGGGAGAACGACCGGGACAATTTGGTTCCTCAAGGGGAGAAATCTTCTGGTTTTTAGCGGATTCGCGAGAACCATCTTAGTCGACGAGACGCCTCATAAAGATAGAAAGAGCGAGTGAAGAAGTCCAGAAAGACCGTCCGATGGTGAGCATCAGAAAGAGAAGATGTCCAAGAGATTGCGGAAGTGGACGAGGAATTTTTTGGAGGAGTCTCAAAAAATCCTCAGCTGCTTCACCTTCCAGCTGCTTGGAAAAGTCTAAATCCCTACTGTCGTGTTTGTTGTGTTGTCTTTAACTCATACAGTATCGTAGATCGCGGTTTTCGCCGGTGTATGCGAAAGCACTGATCAGACCAGTGTCTATCGATTCGTACATTACCATCATCATATTTCGACAAAATTTATTACACTATTTTTCACATATCAGCTCGCCTAAGCGGAATCCTCTCGACAGCGGCGCTTCCGACGCGGCGTGGCGCGTTCGGGATTTCGTTGCCGGTCACGCAATGTCACGCAATAACACGTATCAAAGCGGAGTCCCGAGAAAAAAAAACATATACAGTAATATTACCATTTCACAACAAGAGTTGATCCTCAGATTCAACATCCACACATTGTGCTCCTCGTTCATTCAGGCACGACCTCTTCCGATTCAATTCTCCCTCGTTCTTCTCGCGCATCGAGAAGTTCACTGAGATTCCCGAATCGTGAACTCTTCGGCTATCTCTGCAATTTCCCATTTCAGTTTCGCGACGGTCGGCATTTCTCTTCATGGAATGATTCGAATCGGCGACAATGATTTCACGGAACTCGAGCGTGACCGATGCTTTCGTCGACCGTGCTAGTAATTGTTTCTGTTGTTTCTGTTACATCTTGAACTGTTTTCGGTCCCTGTGCCTTCCTCGGGCACCGTTCGCCGATTCCCTATTCTGACCCCAGTCGCCGGCAGAGAACTGAGCTGACACCCTCCCTTGACACCGAGATCGCGACGAGGCCGAGTTGGCAACAAGTTTTTCCTCGTGAGGAACTTCCGCTTCGAAGAGAGAGTCGCTGGCGAACAACGAAGAAACACATGGGTGGATGAAAATATGCAGTAGGAGAAAAACCACGCTTCGTCTACACCACGGCAGCATTGTCAACCTTCTGGTACCGGGACCCTCGTGGCTGAGACATTGACAGCTGGTGGAGACGATGCAGTGTCGAGAATCGACTTGTGGCTCCAACGATGCCCGATCGGCACTTGAACAAGGTGAGATGTCCGTTCTCCCGATGGATAGCTCATCCTTTACTGCATCGTTAAAATCATTTCCTCTAAAACTCCTCCGAAAACAGAACTCTCACTGGCCCCGTGTCCGGCCCTTATGGTTGCCTGTGTGGATTTTGTATTCTCTTGTGTAAATGCCTCAGGTAGATTGGACACCGTTCCGCCGTCGCCTGATCATCTATCAATGTACATTTACGGGAGCGAGTCGCGTACGAATCTCCCGTAGCTGGCTTGGTTTGTGTTTGTGGTCACCGTTTTGATGTAGCTATCGTCGTTTTCATCGTCGTCCTCGACGTCGTCATCATCATCGTGTGCACAATTTCGACGAGAGGGACGACGATTGAATTTTACACATCTCTAACACTATATTATACGGATGCAGTCCGGTTACCATCAGCGGGTAGGGCGGCCCACCAGACTTGGGTAAGCTCCACCAGCGATCGACGATAGCGCCGCTGTAACGCCCAATGGTGCACCTCCCATCGCTTGTCCCACTCCGATGATTTGACCCGTCGACGTGGTGGGGAAACCCGACGCTAGTCCCCTCGATGACATCTGCCTCTGTTCCTCGGCTGAATGTATTGCGGCAGAACTGCTCCCGACCATTGCACCTGCGGACGGCGGAAGAAAAAAAACATGTTAGATACCATGGTCACACGATGAGTGTTTGGAGGGGAGGAGCGATGGATATCCCGGACTATTATTCTGAGATGAGATGATGATCACGGTTTCCGAATGCGTGGACAGGACAAGACTTTTCAGGTTAAGAGGGAACATTCAATTTTTCTATTCGCTCCACCCAGAGCGATATCGATGAAATATTCAATCAAGACCGTGATGACCCTCTCCAATCGTTTCCACATTGATCGTGGCAATCGTGCTATTCGAGCTCGAGATGCATCGGAAGAAAGTCACTCAAACGGACTGATAAGATACGCTAGGCGCAATCATATGGAGCCGTGCAGCGTGTGCACCGGCAGAAGGCGAATCGGAATCTTCAACTTTTCTGGAAATTTAGTGGATGTGGAGCTCTGCATTGATTGTGGACGCCAGGCGAGCTGTAATCGAGCTGATAGTTCTTGGTTGTCCGCAACAGCGAACGCCTGTGGTTTCTTCGAGCTGAATTCTTATTTACGTTAAAAAACCAAAGAAGATCTTCGCCGTGGAACGCGTCACGAGGTTTCGGAACAGGTCTCTGTAGAATATTCCGCAGAGACTGGCGATGGACATCAACTACGTTCCCCCAACGAGCAAGCCGACTGAACAGGACTTGGGGAACGAAGTACCCTACAACGAGTCGGGTCCAAGGGATCATAGAAACGTCGGGCGAGCTCAGCAGAAGTTTTCGCTTCAATCATTCCTGTCATTCCCCTCCGAACTCCTAACATCGAGTACATACGACCGATAAGTCTATGTAATTGAAAGCTCCAATCGGATGTGCTTGGTAAGGAAGGGTGCTGTCGAGAAAAAACTGTGAGCCCTCGAGTCAGAATATATTCAACTGAGCCGACGACGCAAGTAGCCGCCGGGCCGAACAAATGAACGAGCGAACGAACGAACGAGCCGGCGAGCGGACGACGATCGCTTCGCACACCCAGGCAGCGATACGCACAGTAAAGAGAAGGAGGGTCGACAACCCTCTTGGACATCTGCCCGGTGCCGCTTGTGGCGGCAGCGATTGTGGTGAACAACAACAGGAATGAGGATTTTTCTCAACTCTACAAGTTCCCCTCGAGAACCGAAAGCTACGAGTACACAGCAGCTCGAGAAAATTTTCAGAGTAACTTCTGACGACCGGGTCTCCGGACGAGCGATTCCTCTGGGGGTTTCGACCGTCGCTATCGCCTCAGCCTGCAGGACAACGGAAGACGTCCGTGTCAACAGACGAATCTACGTAAACAGATCCACGGACAATGGGATGAAGAACCATTCGAAGAGGAATTCGAAGAGTCCTTCGGAATCGCAGTATCGCTAGTTACGAAATCCGGGATGAAGCGGGCATTCGTCGCAGATTTCGTGGGTGATAGTCCGCGGCGCATACTGCTGAAAAACTGTCTCGCCGTTGTTGTTGGAACGCCCCGATCACGGGGTATTCCGCTGCGTCGCGACGTTTCCAAACAACTTCACTGATGTTTCGTGCCCGTCGAATTCGATACGAGAAGCGAAGTTTGCTCGAGCAGAACACAACAGTCGAGAAGGAATGGAGGAAATTCCGACCGGAATCCGGCACCAGAGATACTGAGCGAAGTCAGAACTCCTCAACCTCGAAGTTCACAGAGCTCACTGGAATTCCACGAACTTTTTCATGGGGAAATCAAGCGACCTCCAACCGATTCCTGAACGTCGTCACAATAGGAAAATGAATGGAGACCATTTAGAGAGGGCAAGTGCCAAACTATCTCCGTCAAGGGAAGAGATGCTGATTCCGATTGTCCGGAAACCTCCTGGTGGATCTCCTGACGCAGGAACGGGATTTTGCGGGATTGGTGAGTCCCGAATCCGAACGCGCATCGGATGAAGCGCGGACGACGAGGGGATGATGGGCAATTGGAGCATGACCAACATGCTCGAAAACAGGCCAAAGACCTGCATAGATGATATCGACCACATCGCCAGTATCTTACGAAGACGGTCGCGGTACAAAAAACGTCTCGTCGGACGAATGACAGGCATCATCCTCCTGCTGAGAAGAATTTGAAACCTGGGATTGGATCGAGCAGAGCTTGTATGGCCGAGCCGTGGACTCGAGTACAGGCTTTACGTCTGAGCTCCATAACAGGACACCGCGGCCGGCGCATAATCACCGGCCGTTCACGTGAGATTATCTCGGTCCTGATGAAAGAGCCCATTTCTCTTATGTGTTCATGCAACATTCAGGCTCCTCAACTAGTCAGCTGTAAGACCGGGATGAATGAATGAAGGAGTGAATGAAGGACTGTGGGGTTCCGCGGCGGCCCTTAATTGTCGATTGGAACAAACGACGCGACCGAACGAGCGCAGAAGCCGACCGATCATGCGATTGTCAAGTGGCCTACGTCAGGCGACAGATGAACGGAACGGCTAGTCTGATAGAACTACGGATAGATCGAATAGACCCTGTTGAGCAGCACATCCGTTGCGGGGGCCACGCGCGCGGCATACGCCCGTGACGTGTACGCCCGGAACAATGCCGGCGCCGTCAAACAAATGGGACAGCGCGCGCTTGCGTTGTCGTCGGTGTTGAAGCTGTTGTTGTTGTTGTTGTGGCGGTGGTGGTAGCGGTGGTGGTTGACACCGTCGGTCTCGGCGTCGTTGCTCACTGACCAGCAAGAGCTCCGTCGTAATGGATGACAATCGTGTTTTCTTCCCACTTTAGAATCGCTGCCTTTGGGAAGAACCCGTCGCCGGAATGAAGTCAACAGCCGAATTAGACGAGTTCCTTTTCCAGCCCGTCTTTTCTTTCACGCGTCATTCGGCTCGCTATCCGCTCGCCTTCGTCTACTCGAAATTCGATTATCATACCTCGTGGAGCTCTCCGGCGCTTTGTGGAAAGTAGGGTGATCGGTGATCGGGTCACCCTCACGGAACTGGTAAGCACCCTCTGCCTCGAGAAAAAAATCACGAGACAGCTGCTCGCGGATGGTTTTCAGAATCATCGCCATCGAATAAACCGCCTTCTCCGAGAAAGGAGGGAAGCCATCACGGACAAGACTCGTTGACTCCGTCAGATAAACACAGTCGACGAAGTCAACATCACTTCAAGACACGACGAGACGTCGTCCTACGAGACAAACAGAACCCAAGTCATTTGATCCAATCAATCGCAGGTCCCGACAAGACGGGAGAAAACAGCGGCGCATTTCGTGCTCCCGGGTGCCGAGCCTCGGGACTCGGGACCCCGTACCGCAATGAGTGGATTCTTCCGAGGTTGAAATCAAAGAAGATCGTCCCCAGAAGTCAAGACGGGAATTTTCCGAGAGGCTCTCGACGCCGTAACCGATCCATATTGAGCGCAATGAACGACGAGCTTGTACAGCCAAGAAGAGCGTTGTAGAAACGAATACTTGAAGATAGCTGACGATTAACAAACAAAGCGCCCCAATGAGGGCAGGCCCATCGGCCAAGCGGCTCGTTGGTAAGACTGCTGATCAACGTCGCCGCCTCTGCCGCCATCGTCGGGAGCGACACACACACTATCACTCGGTCAACAATGGCAGGGACAGAGGAGAGAAATCATGTTGCACTTCGAGAAAGATATATCAACGAGAGAATACGCATAGATGCTCACGAGCGAAAAAGGTCGGCCCACCCTGGTTGCCGGAAGACGGAGCGAAAATCTCCGATCGACCGACCCCCGGTCGGTCGTCGCGAAAGCCGCCTGAGCAGGCAACACACGAATTATTTATTCTTGAGCTTCGATAGATTTCCGAATGAAGTCTGAATAAAATCGTGAACGAGGCAAGGTCGCCTGAGAAGTAACGAGAAGCAGCAGCTGGCCAGCTCCATACATCGTTCTCATCGGGCTCCTCGCTTGCAACTCGGCTTGCGATAGACTTCAATCTCAAGGCTCAAGTACGAGCTGTATTTTGGCTTCGAGGACGCGAACAAGAATTATCGGTGTCCCGAAGTTTGTGTCGACTACATTGCTGGATCGAATCTCTGCGAAGGGCGCATAAATCCTCGGCGAAAAACGCTCTCGATCGGATACATCTTCCGAGAATGGGACTTCCACGAGGTTCCCGGCCAAAGTCGACGATGTTGGATACATGAGTTAGGATCTTGTGCGAACGAAGCTCCCCTTTCTTCATCTCAGGGCTCAGCTCAAGCCGTCTCGAGTCTTACATCGAATTAAAATTAGCTCTAGAATGCACGACCTGATACTGAAGGAATGGAGGCACACCTCGGTACTCAGGAAAATTCCCCGAATTTCCCTGGGGCAGACTCGTCGCAAAAACGTCCGACAATATCGACTGCCGAAAACGGAGGAACCTTGATCTCGACACGTGTGGGTAAGCATCACTCGCTACTCCTTCCGTCCTACGGAGTGGACGAGCGAGCGAGCCAGCCAGCGGGAAAGAATAGAAGAAAGGTAGAAGAAGATCACTTACCGCCCATGGGTGCGGCGAGAGGCCTAGCCATCTGCATTCCGGGAGCGGATGCCTGCTGCTGTTGTTGCTGTGGCGGGACGGTAGGGTCGGCAGGGAACCTAGTGTTGCCAAACTTGAGCATATTCCAGTCAAAGATGTAGTCGTACGTAAAGCCCTGTCGATGGAACAGATTACGGAGGAGCTGTCGCAGATATGAATAGTCGGGACGCTCGTCGAAACGTAGCGATCGGCAGTAGCTGAGATAGGTGTTGAACTCGGAAGGGAACATCTTGCACAGGTCCTCGATCGACGTCGACATCTTCTTTTCCGAGATCCTTTCGTACTTCTGGCGTTTGTTGTTGGCCCGAAGCCCTTGCCACGGCAACGAGCCCCGGTTGAAGTACATCAAAACATAGCCGAGAGACTCGAGATCGTCGCGACGACTTTGTTCAATTCCTAAGTGCGTGTTGATTGAGGCGTATCGCGCCGTTCCCGTGAGGTTCTTGTTCTCCTTGTAGGCGATGTGTGTCTGCGACCGGGAGTCTCGATACTTCTTGGCGAGACCGAAGTCGATAATGTAGACGACGTTGCCCTTCTTGCCGAGACCCATGAGGAAATTGTCGGGTTTGATGTCTCGATGGATGAAGTTCTTCGAGTGGATGAACTCGATGCGAGAGATCAGCTGGTCGGCTAGCAACAGAACGGTTTTGAGCGAGAATTTCCGCTGGCAGAAGTTGAACAAGTCCTCGAGCGAAGGTCCTAACAATTGCATCACCATCACATTATAGTCGCCTTCGGAACCGCACCACTTCAGCTGAGGGATACCGACACCGCCTTGCATGCATTTGTAGAACTTGCTCTCAATGTGCAATTGGGGGTGTTTCGTTTTGACGCACTCCAACTTTATGGCGACCTCCTCACCGGTTGTGATGTTGGTGCCTAGATAGATGTCTCCGAATGAGCCCGAGCCGATTTTTCGACCGAGACGGTATCTGTTGCCGACACGGAGTTCCATGATAACTTCAACGCCGCTTCAAAGCTCGTTCCCTCAGTCAAGCAATCGACGACGACGTCGTCGCCGTCGAACAACGGCTCGCCGAAAATGTAGAAAATGTCTGTCTGGCTAGTGACTGGCTGGTCGGCCAGCCACACTGATTCAACTCGCCTCGACGACTCGACTTGCAAGCTGGACGTGCAGAGCTGATCGTCGACGTCGTTGTCGTCACCAGGTCGGTCGGTCACTCGTTTGCCTGGTCCGTCGGTCGGTCGGTCGGTCTTTTGGACGGACGGACAATCTTCCGGACGGACAGACGGTCGATCGGTCGCTCAGTCAGTCGGATGGTCGGCAGTGAGTCAGTCAGTCAGTTGACTGAAGTCGCCTCTTCTTCCACGAGCTAACTACACAGTTTTCATGCAATAAACACGAACGCAATCCTGCCCCGTTGTTGTTGTCGTAAAGCTTTTGCCGAGAGGCCGTCTGTGAGAGGCCGTGTGTGCTCGTTTGTCTGAATCTGTGTGTATCCAAGTGATTCACACAAGTTCCGAAGTGAGCCAGCCCGATCAGGCTCCTGGGCCTGCAGAATTCCCGACTAGGCTACACGTGTTGCAAGAGCAGCAAGAGTGCGTTCTCCGCTACTTGCTGCCTGAATCCTCGCACACTGAACAGCTAGCGAAGATCACAATTGAACGAGCAGGAGGCCCCACATCGCCATTTTAAGCACGCCTTTTCGCTGCTCCAGCACGGCTGAAGAAGGCTCCGAGATGACCGACACGTTCTTGGAGCGACCGCAGCGATCAACTACGTGCACTTGGACAGCCGGAGCGGTTCAAGTTTTTCCGATGATCACGAAATCTCCACCGCGAACGACTTGCTTCCTTCCTAGATGATGACTGCTACGTCTGGCCGATGGATGAATTCTCACTTGGCCCAAGCCGAGCCCCAGAATGGTTCGGGCGCTTCGACACGAAGCCCTTCTCTCTCCACACCACACACACACACACACACAACCTGCGAGATTTCGTAAGAGCTCGCGCTAACTCTGAATGGGCTCGAAAAATCAGCGACGAAAAGAAAAAGATTCTGACGGAACCCTTGACGCTCAAGGTGATCGATATGCGAGCGGGGAGCTGGAGACCTCGCCACGGGCTCCGATCTCACGAGCCGGTTTTGAAAACTACAGCGAGGAAATACACGGAAGCTCGTTGCGCAGCCGCCGATCGCCGCCACCGCGCGCCGATTGTTATGAGCCTCCGTCGGGAGGTCCTTAAGCGGAATCCATGTCGCATGCCGTATCTCGAGACTCGGGCATCGAGGTCCTACAATTCGGGGGGGGGGAATCTAACTATTGATTGCAAAAGGAACACACGCAAAAGGAAGACCAGACTGACGGCCGATTCCTGAGGCGAGCACTGAAGCTCTGGACCGGTTCCGGGCGGAAATTACCGCGCCAATCAGATATCTAGAGGGAAAAAGCGGATATCGAGGGATTCGGGATCCTTTCGCCGAACAGTCACGGAACGGGATAAACCTCCGTTCCTCAGAAGGACCTGCAATCCTGAACGATGCCGAAAATCCAAATGCTATTGAGACTGTCGGAATGTGTGGTCTAGACTAGACCTCCAGACGTCTAGACTGCGCTACAAAAACAACAACCGCCTTTCGGATACAGTAACGATGAATTTCACTTTGCTCTGCTCATTTTATTTCGCATTCATTTAATAATCACCGAGTATATATACAACTGGAAGCTATTCAGACAAACGTAAATTCAATGAGCTGTACGCACGTGCCTCTTGAGCTTCGTTAGGTGAGCGACGATCTATGCATTCCAATGTATTGAGTGAGTGAGGCTTAAGCAGTCCTCAGCGCGCTAAAGTAACTTTCTGATCCGATGAGAGTTCCGCGGAAAATATGTCCTGCGCAATCAGCTTTTTTTCGAAACCCCGAATTTCTCCAATTGTGACGGCTTCATCTCCGAATGAACATCGATATCGTCTTGGGTGGAATTCCGGGCTCATTTCTAGATCATCTCTCGCGAGTCCTCCAGAGTCACTGTTCGCTTAAGTTTCTGTTTCGTACAATCTCGAGTTTCTTTCTGAGTCTCGCAATGTTGTGGGTAGGGGCCCCGGCACCATCCTGTTTCCTCGAGTAGCCTCGATATCTAGGGACGGATCAGACCCGTCGTCCCAGCGAAAATTTCGTTTCGAACTCAGCTTATGATGATTCTCCTCAATCGCAAACGGAAAATCCCATGGGTGTACGATCGCAGTGAAGTATCTGAGGCGTGCTCGTTGAGATTTATTGATGCTTGCCTTATGACCCCTGTGCCCCGATTATCACCTGGCTCTAGCCGTTTCGATATTCCTCGTCCGACTCCGGGACCAGGCGACTTCGACGTTACGTGAGGAGTGGGCATTAGAGAGTTTTTCTTTTCGGGTGCAATGAACGAAAAATGTGTGATTGACAGAGACAGTTCCAATCCCCTGATCGATGTTCTTCTCGTGAGGTGAAAGCGATTTCCTTCGAACGGAATCCCCATGGAAATGTGCGAGAGGGAATGTATGAAGGGGTAGGGCCAGTCAAACCGAGGAATGGAATCTGTTCCACGCACCAACCCGAACTCATCGAAACCGCGCACCAAAGTGGAGCAGCCATCTTGCGGTGATACCGCTCGGATGGTATCTCTGACATCGGAGCTTTCGGAGTCCCTCCTCGATGCTGAGCACCGTGGGAAGCTCTCCAGGTCCGCTTGATCAGAATCAATCGATTATTATTGGTTTGAGAAAACCTCAACGAAAACACTAGAGCATTTTTGAGATCGGCGCTCAGTAGAGATAAGAAGGGAAATCCATGGATGATGAGTTACGCGGTCATGAGCCACATCCGAGATCGGGAGGTGGATTCAGTCAGCTTGGGAAAATGGTAGAAACTATAAACATGGAAGCGTTGAAAGTGACGGGAACGATGGAGACGAGGGGACGGGGAGGTGAGGGTGAGCCTGTTCAGCCACCGTGCAATGTTGACACGAAGAGTATGGAGTCATTGTTTTGGATCCTATAGTCTTTGCCGCCCTAGAAGCAGGAGCGAATAATTCGAGATGTTAATCAGAGCGAGCGTTGCAGGCGATAGGTCAAAGGATAAGAATCTCCAGCGGTATACCACAAACCTGAACTTCTCCCCTAAACGCTTACCAGGAGTTCCCAGTCGATTTCATTGATGAGCACGAGAATTCCAGGGCGACTGAGGGATTCGGGAAAGAATCACATGATAGTCTAACTTGACATCGACGGCAACCACGCAGATTATGGTCACCGCGAGATGGGGAATTATATTTGAAGTGAGAGAATAGGGGGAGATACGATTAGGTAGTCCCGACAAGGTACTCACACACCACTACCGTCCGCGTGAATGAACATCTCAGGATTGCCTTTCAGGAGATTCTTCGCGAGCCATTTAACCAGGAGGTCTATCGTCCCTGCAAGAAGAAGAATCATATAGCAGGAGGGAGGGATTTCATTGATGACTGAATGTCGGGGATTCCTGAGGTTGGAATGATGATATTTCCTTGAGAATTTCTCGGAGCTTTCACACGCGGCGAAAACTCCGCAATCTCCCTCGATACACTGAACCGCCTGAGCGCGGACCGCGAATCCCCTACCGCTATCTTTACATGAAAAACGGTTTCGAGCTCTAGATTGAGGTTGTTTCGGATTCCCGTAAACCGCGTCATTCACAAGCGCGAGGTCAGGCGATTATACTTCGGGTCGGGGCTGTTCAAAGTTCGAGAGACTTGGCGTCAGTCCCATCGAAGATTCATCTCCACACGGGCTGCGTGATGACGCGCGTTTCGCAGAGGCGTGAAGCGCATGTCGACAGGAGCCGCTTAGCTATCGAGTTTCGGGAAGAATGCTAGAAGTCGGAAGATCCGGGCGAAGGATTGGGAACCTAGGAGTACTCGCCGCAAGATTTCAACCCGAAAATTCCGATATGCGAGTGAAATCCGTACCCAACAGGTGTCACCAGAAAGGCGCCCTAAGCCAAGCGAGACGAAAGCTAGAAATTGGGCGCGCACTGAAGTGAACGGCTTTTCCCAGACCAATTCTTCGGCTCCATTCTTTCCAGGAATGCTTCTCATGAGGGAGCTCCTCCTAATTACATTATTTTCATCCGATTCAATGCGTCAGTGACAGAACAAGAATCCGATACGTCACTGGAGTGAGGTGCTATGGAGCTTCGTTTTATGAGTTCGGAGGAAACCGTTGGAGGGAGTTAGCTTCCCGACCGTATAGATTGTCGAGGTAACGACGGAGTAGATGTACGGACTTACAGGGCCGATCCTGCGGTGGAAGGGAGACACTCTGTTTCTTGCGACTCTCGAAGAGGAGTTCAGCTCCTCCGGCGAATTCGAGACTGATATCACACATAGTAGTGCCGAGCGATTCGAAGTACGTTCTCAAGTATCCAGAGGGTCCAACGCGGTCATCAAAAGGGGATTTCAGAAAGCAATCCGGCAAGAAATTGCGTTCAGAGTAAAGCTGACAGAGCGACGGATTTCAATGGAGCTGGCAATGAAATTTCTCAAAACCGAGAAAGAACAGGTCACTCTCGATGATGATCTTTGCTGGTACGGCAGCGTCGGAGCCGAGGCGTTCCGTTCCGGAGCCGACGGGAAGCGTCAGATTCAAATACTCACGCAGCTTTGCCATGGCGGTCCAGAAATGTCCTTTAGTTCCTCACCGTGCTCTACTCAAAATGAGCTCCGGGCAAAGTGACGATGCCGGATCGAAATGTATGCTCTAGTCCGCATCTACCGCCGTCGATCCCCGTAAGGAGAACGTGCGGTCAGCTTCCTTGAATATTGCGGCAGATCGATTCTTGGACTCTGGCTCGTAAGCGCGTCGGAGCGTGGAGGAGCTGGAAGAATTCGATATTTGACCCTTGGGCGAGTCAAGGTCGCCCGAAACCCTTCCGCAGTAGAGAGCTCACGAGCTCGTTATGATTGCTGGCTTATATTTGCCGAGAGGAGACTCGCACTCCATCCCCATTATCATCATTATTATGAGAAGTGAAACGGAACGTCGCGAGAGTCATTTATCTTCGACGCGCCACATTCATGACTTGCTACGCCAGACATCGTTAAATGTCATTATTTGATTCGTGGCTCAGTCGCACGTCACTGAGTGCGACAATAATTCTAAATACCCCAGAAGATGTCGATCGGTAGAAGCGACTGACATCCATGGCAAGGGTTTGACAACGCACGAACCCCGTAAGTTCCATGGATCTCGCTGTAAAAAAAAATCCTCTCCAATTATTTGGAAAGCGAAGATAATCTGCTTTCTTGCGACGGAAGAAAAAGTTCTTTCAACCCGATCGGCTTAGCGACGGCGGGAACGACTGCGATGCAGGGTGCCGGGCCCGATCGGACGTCATGGGGCAAGGTACACGAGGATCACAGACAGCGAGTATACCTGACACGGCACAGAAGAATGTCAGTGCGACAAATGACTCGGCTCTCAATGAATATCTAGCCCCAAATATCGTTCTCACTCAGACGTGTTATCTGGAGACTGCGGTTTTCAATGGCGTCTTGTCAGAGGGATATAACGCGCTCCGCGTCTTATGAGTGAAGGGAGGACTCACAGAGCTTTGGTTCATATATTTATTAAATATCTTAATCTCACTTGCTATTCTCAAGGCAGCGAAATTCGGTTCCACCTGATAAATATATTCAGGGCGGTAGCGCCAGGTGTTCTTCGATTAAGCGCTGCCGAGTCATACTTGAAGGTGCGGGTTCAGACCACAGTCGGTTTGAGATTCTCGTGGAACAACTCCCTGTTCGGGAGCTTTTCCTTCCGTCGCCGTACAATTTGTATCTACGTCATAGAGCAGCTCATTTCAGAGATTGGAGGACTTCGACGACCGGGGGAATGATTGTGAGGTACTTCTGGGTCCTCGAGATCTTCATGGGGGACAGGTTCTTGCAGGAATTTGTGTTCGGTCCGAACTTGGCGCAGACGGTTTCGAGCAGATCGCCGGCGACTCCAGCGATCACTCCCTTAACGTAGTTGGCGTGCTTGCTGTCGCACGTCTCCCTCGTCGCCGCGACCACGCAGGCCTCGAGTTTATGGAGACCGCTGTCAAGGAACCAAGTGAAATGTCATAATCATTCTCGCACGAAGATCGGTGATTTCGAGCGTGAATTTCAAATTTTTCGGTGATTTCAGCGCGAATCACTGTCCAGAATACGGATCGTGCGACGGCATTGGAATCTTTAGGAACAGGAAGAATCTTCAGATGAACTCACCAGCACATTTGAGCGACTCGCTCTTTGGCGGGCACTTGCGTGGCTGCTTCCGTGGCTTTGGTGGCGTCCATCATACACTTATTCAATTTACGTCCGTTCTTGTTGATGCATGGTACGTATTTGTAGTAGTCTGAAAAGACAAGAGCGTGACCAAAAACCCGCATCGGTCTCACCGAAATGATTATCTCTAAAGTAGGAGGCATGCACGGCCGTACATACCTTTGTTTTTCGGTCCGCCAACCTCACACTTCAGATCGCTTTCCTGGGTAGCACCTTCGATAACCAATTTCGATACTCCCTGCGCCAGACCGGTCACACAGTTCTTGTTGTGCTCCTTCAGACACTCGATAGCGATTTTCTCCTGTCTGAAGTCAAGTTGTGCTCCCGTTACGGATTGTTCCAAAGGCAACGTTACATGGTTTAGGGTATAAGCTGGAAGCTCGCGTAAGGTAAAACGGTACTCACTCGCAAGCCCAGGCCACCTCGCTGGGTTCCACAGTAGCGGTGGTGTTTTGCGCGAAAAACAGAACTTTAGCAGTGCACTTATCCAGCACGAAGGGATCGCAAGCCCGGGGGGCGGCGGCGATCAGAGCACCTTGAGGGGAATTGGAAATTACTCAGGGTTTCCGGAAATTCTAATTCACCCATTGTGGGTAGTAGGAGTCGCTCATCGCGGCCCGAGGTTCGAAGTCCCGTCGAACACCAGCGGCGAGGTGATACCAGAAGATTGGTCGCATCCGCGACGGAGCACGAAGCTCCTACTTTGGCTCAGGATCCAGCCAGAGAAAGGAGCGAGAGATCGTCGTCGGATCGCTGGTATCTGTGCCGCGAGTAGGACCTCCGTGACTGAACCTTGGCAAGAGGACCGTCAAACTTTCTCTAGCACAGTGTGTCGAGCTTACCTGTGCAGACCAGAGCAATCAGAAAACGGTTCATGATGGGGCTGTTGAGTTTGGAGTTGGCAACGAAGCCGGCTCCTTTATATACAGCAAACATGGAGCGGCGAGGGCAAAATCCTCTGACGGCATGTGCCGCGAGCCACAAACCACTTTTTCGGTGCTCGACCTCCTCTCGCAATCTGCATCGAGAGTTCCATCGTCCGAAGGTTTGAAGACGATTCGACATTGTATTCCACGAGAGACCACAGAAGATAAGCCGCGAGTGAACTTCCATATTTTCCCTTAATATACATCGCCTCGATTCACTCTAAGGCTCACCGGGAATGCACGTCTAGAACAACGTCGGGGAGAAAGCATGGAAAAAAATTGGAAGCTCTGCTCGTTAAATACGACATCGAATATGAAGGAAATCGTACCCCATATTCCAAAACTTCGAAATCGATGTAGTGTGTGATATTCGATGGTCTATTGTCCGTTGTTTCATTGGGTTTTCAGGGTCAAAGCGGTTCGGAGGAAGCCTCCCAAGGCTCTGCATCAGACTGTAGAGCTGGAAGATTTCCATAGGCAGCTATCCGATTGGGATTCCCGAGTGCATAGGTGCAGAATTCCATCCGCGCAACCCGGAGCTCCAAATAGCTCGTCAGTCAGTCTTTCGAGTCTCCTCGGGGGAGGAAGGAGAGGGACAGCTCTCAATAATAGGGAATCGAGAGCTCCATGAGCTCCGGCTGCCTACGTAATCGTTCCTCGTCGGTGTGGACCGACACCTTAAATCTAGCGTACCCGATATACGTTTTCGTTTGAGCTCTCCTCGTGTTGATTCCGAGAGAAAGTTCCCTTGTATGTCGTTCTCCATGGTCTATAGCTGGAGAAAATTTGCCTTAACCACGTCCACACAATACTCGTCAGGAATGACTCTCGATTATCTGTGTCCTCTGTCTGAGAATGTCGCTACGAGGGACGTTTCCACAGGGAGACTGCGCTGCTCGTCATCATTTGTGTCTTACAGCCCGGAAGCCTTTCCTCGATCTTCCGATCGATCTCCCAGGATGGCTCGGAACGCTGTAGTCTGTCAGTCAGTCGGTCGGTCGATCCGTCAACGATCTCTCGAACTTCGTTCGATGTATCCGCGACGATCTCGTCGGATCTTCGTTTGCGTCAGAATCGGACGAGCGATTTCTCGAAAGCGCTTCCGGCGGCTGCATGGGTCGTGTCTAGAAAGGTCTCGATTGATTGAGCGAGGTCCTGCGGCCGAGCGTTGGTTAGGAACCGATAATCGTGCGATTATCTCCGAAGCTGAGAGTCAATCCCCGGACGCGATCCACCTTCAGCTCAGGTCTCGAGCTAAAGGGGGAGGGAGTCCGCGGGAGGGAGGCGACTCCGGTCTCCAGTTTTTATCTCTCGATTTCCTCGCGAGCTGAGGAAAATTTAAGAGGGATCGTTGCTGCTATTGACGTGGTCATGGGTTGCTGAGACGGCGAAAGGGTCGGATTACGCCGGATTATCAGAGGAAAGTGTCTGATTCGGAAAAAGGCGAATGTACGCGGAGAGAAAGTATTCCTCGTGAGGCGATGCCGAATTTCGGCGACGTCATCTCGACTAACCCTCAGTACGGCGTACGATGGTGTTTTCGTTTGTCACGATCTGAGCAGCGTGTCAGTTGTTTTCAGGAAAGCTTCCATGATGCTCTTAACTCCTCGAATTTCGGAGTTGATATCGAGCTGTTCGACGTTGGTTTTCATGAATTCATTCCTTCCATTCCGTCAGGAAGAGGTAGAAGGATGACTCAAGCCCGATTCGTTCCCCCGACGGAATGGGAAGCGCCAATGGAAAATTAGTTTCACTTCCGTGAGAAACGCGGTGTCTCACAGTTTTGACCCCACGATCTCTCAGATATGCGTAGTTCGACAGTTTTCACGAGCGGAGTGAGGAATTCGAATTCTTCCGAACTTAGCCGATCCTCCTTTGATAGATCGACTCTCGACTGGATCGCACAGACTACAGAGGTTTCTACTCGAAGATTCGCATATTGATTGAATGAGTACGAGATGATGATTAATTGCATTCGAGAAGTCAGATGATTCCGTGCGACGGGACGCTGTTGCAGCTCCCTGCTCCGAACAAAGATACGCCAGAAAATCGCATCTCCCTGTGCGGAGCGAACTTGAGGAAAGCGATCAGAAAATCATTATCCAGGAACGCTCTTCGGAGACAAGCGACACTAGACTGTAATACTCCGCAACGAGAAGTCTTGCTGAGATTGCTTTTCCTCTCTCGATATTTGGCGCTTGTTGCTCTTTCGGAGGTCTCAGGGCAATCGGGAAAACATCTATCAGTGAGGTGGACTCGAACACACTCATCAAGATGGTTCGAGTGAGTCAGAAGCTGTCCAGCTGCGAGTCGCTGGATTGCACCAGACTGATGTTCAGATCGGTCTAGATTGTGGACTGGAATTGATATCGATTTGCCTACCTACTCCCGACAGCCCCAAAAAATGAAAAAGATCGCTCTTCTTCAATTCCTCTCGATATTGTGATGTCTCTTTTGCCCGCATTAGTCGTGATTCCTCATCCCCGCCCCCTGCTCCCCCTATCTCGTCAGACTCCCATGACTGCTGAGGAAGAAGAATAATTGGCTCGGACTCACGGTCGCCTCATCGAGGGTGATTGGATTCTGTATCGAGGATGATATTTCGAGCGAGGGATGAAGACAGAATAACGGTGCTCGTCCCCGCTCGCGAAGTGTTACCAAGGTCAAACCGAGTGAGAGTCAGTTCACTGAGGCAATACCGCATCTCGAGAAAAACGAGTGATAGTCTACATAGAGGCCTTGCTTTCGATTTCCGAATTTCACAGACTCTCCGAGATCTGGCACGTTCCGAACGATGGAGCAATAGATGTAATTATTATCGGTAGCCGATTTGGCGAGTTCAGCTGCATATAGACAGAAATGTTTCGCTCCGCATCGCCTCGGCTGGCGAGATAATACGGAGTGTGTTTCACCGACTGGAAACTAGCTTCGCCGACTGGCAGAACATGTGCAAGTCATGACATGATGGCATTTTTTTTCGGGTGTCGGAGCTTGATCGGTCTTATCGGGAATGATAGACGGTGCCGAAGAAGGTGAGCGGTGTCAGGCGGATTTCCCACCTCTCGCGTGAAGAGATACGAGGAGGTCGTCGGATGATCCGAGTTTCCAGACATGTACGAATAAAGGTTGGTTTATCACTCGATTACCTGATTTTCTTTTCACCCAGTTACCTAATTATCTCCGCTGCCAAGCTCCATAACGTGCGGGCCTTATCCGATTAGGACTGCGTTTGCTTTCTGGCCTGCCTCTCACCCGAGTCGCTCGCTCATTCCTGTCCGCGAGCCGGTCCATCAGTCGGGGTGGTTGGCATCTCGCTCGGAGGAGCTGTTCGATAAGTTGTGTGAGCGGGCAACGTGGCGATAAACCTGCGTTGTAAAATCGCCCAGAGCATTCGGAGTAAGACTACAGCGTCCTGCAATCCGAACGTCGGATGTTTAGTTCACAGAATTATTTTAATTCTCGAAGATCTGCGGATGTGAAGTTGGCTCAATGCCGCTCCACGAGCGACGCTGAGACGCTCCCGGTGTCTTTGACGACGTCGACTCTCGTTTTGCAGACAGATCCGATGACATTTCACTTTACTTTCACGAAATCTCCCCTTCTAGAGGTAGAATTTATAATTCGATCCGATCGATCTATTCGGACAACACCGACGAGCATGCTGTTCTTCTCCCTCCGATTCTCCGATCGCCCTTTTAGGAGGTGCGACGTCGACATCGACTTGAAGAGAGGGAGCGGTGACGCAGTGAAGTGACCGGGCTCAGAGCTGCCCGGCGACTCATCGACCACTGCCGAGGGGAATACTGCGGAGTATTTGTTTGCAGAGGATCAAACACTCTCAACGCCTTTCGGATCGCTTGACGTAAGTTGCTATCTTGAGAAGGTGCTTGAACTCGTACGTGAAAACATGAGCCTAGAAAATACTGAATTGAGCTGACGTGCGCTGGAAACCAACAGACTCTTCGATGTGGTACTGCGCAGCAGATTCGATTGATGGGCGACCTTCCCGCGAAAGACCTGATACATAGCCACGAAGAAGAAGGAGCTCACGAGCCCGATCAGCGCGGCCCTCCAATGGAGGAGGAATCCGAATGAGCGGAAGGGGTCTCCTGTTTCCCTGAAAACCTCGAATCCGAGGCTGTGGAAGTGCTCGCTTTGCTTAGACACTTGACTTATCGAAACATATTGAGAATCCTGCCCGGGTTGAGATAAATGGGCTGATGAGGAATGTCTAAGTTTGTCGCTTGTTATAGGATACCGTGGATAAGAAAGGTCCTGCGGAAGACCAACGAGCATCAGCGCGGATTGGTTTCGGAGGATCGAACAATTATCGTTCATCAGATTCACTTCTCGATCATTTATGATTTATCATACACTCCTGGTCCAGCGGCTTCGGTGAGCCCCTAGTGATCAATCTTCATCCGCCCGTGATTTTTCGTATGTTCGCCGCTGTCAATTACGCGGGTCTTAATTTGGACGATGGTGATAATCGTTCGCGACAGACTCCCTGAGATGAGGCGAGGAAAAATTAGCGACTGAAGAGTAATCAGAACCTTCCACGCCCTCCCCCTGCCAGCAGCTGTTTTCCGTCCAATCAGAGCTCTGTGCGCTCGATCAGCTTATTGGGAATTGGGAGCTCGCGTGCACAGGTATCCAGTTCCGCTTTGACCTCAAGGCTTGCCACTGAAGTTGAGTTGAGCGAGAGCGAGAGTTGGTCACGAGTCACGATTAGAAACCAGGATTAGGGATCCGCTCTCTATTTCCAGCCTCAATCCCGCAGAAAACTCGCAACGATCTGCAACTCCACGGGTAGCTATGATTCGCACTCCCGGCACCCCGTCCGCAGGGAACGCGTCGATTTCGCGAGTGGAGTCCTACAGGCAAGGTCTCTTGCTGTTTCCAAAACGTGACTTCGGATGCGCTACGAATCACCTCAGCTCGGCCTCGACCCGAGACTCTGGA